AGATCCTGATCAGTTCCTAACCAGAACTCCGACCAGAACTTTGGCTGGAGATCCTGGCTAGAGGTCCTGGCTAGGCTGCTGATCAACTGAAGGCTGTCTCCGTGTCATTCCTTCTTCGCCGACTCTGTCCACACCTTTGGGGACCCCTGGACCCGCTGGGATTGGACCCCAGCACAGGAGTGCTCACTGTTTTGGGGCCTAAAAGGCAGCTCAGGGAGGTAAAAAAAAAAAGCTGATGAATTTGGGCAATTGTCTTACCTGTGAAATCCTCCGTTTCCTCAGGGGGAAAGTAGGACAGTGATCCACTGGGATGTCCCCAGTCTGTGACACCAGGGCCTCCCCTACACCCCCCCCCCCCCCCCCCCCCAACAGCTGCTGTGGCTTCTTAACTGGGCCTCCTGCCAGTCCTGCCTCCTTCAACTCACTCTCCTCCACCCCAAGTGGTGGTCTGCACGCAAATCCGACAGTGTGCCTCTTCTCCGATGACTCCCTGCACCCTCAGGATAAGGAACTACCTCCTAGAGTGGCCCTAATGGAATCTGCCCCTGCCCCACCTCTACCTGCCAACCCCCTTCAAACACCACACTCCAGACCTCTCTGTCTCCCTGTCTCTCTCTCCCAGGTCTTTGTCCAAGCTGCCCCTACTCCAGATCATGCCCCAGCCTGCCCAGTCCAAACACTGACCACACCGCTGCCCCTTTCTCTTCCCAGGGAGTCTCCTGGAAGCCGGAGATGTCTCACGTACTGTTTGCCCCTGTGGTCCTGGGCCCCTGCGTGTTTGTGGAATGAAAGGGTCATGGAGCCCTAACCGGTTTGGCTCAGTGGATAGAGCATCGGCCTGCGGACTCAAGGGTCCCAGGTTCGATTCCGGTCAAGGGCATGTACCTTGGTTGCGGGCACATCCCCAGTGGGGAGTGTGCAGGAGGCAGCTGATCGATGTTTCTCTCTCATCAATGTTTCTAGCTCTCTGTCCCTCTCCCTTCCTCTCTGTAAAAAATCAATAAAATATATTAAAAAAGAAAGGGTCATGGAGGTAATGGATGTGGGTGTGTATTTTATAAATGCTAAAGGACTAAGCAGGCATCCACAGTGTGTGTGTGTGTGTGTGTGTGTGTGTGTGTGTGTGTGTGTGTTTATTAGTATCCTATGTCTCCATGACAACCCCCAGCTGGCTTCTCCTTACAGGCCCCTAAGAACCCTCACCCTCTCCCCTATCCTCAGGCCCTGGGCTCTGGGGGCTCATCTTCTTCAGCCTTATTCTACCCTCTCAAGAGTGTGGTAGCAAGAATTCCTGGTTGGGGGTGGTGTCCCTATGATAATTTAGAACACAGAGTCAGAGCACATCCATACTGGGAAAGGTTCTTAGAGTGCATCTAGTTCCATTACTCACAGAACTGAGGCCCAGAGAGGGCAGGGTGCTAACCAGGGTCACACAGCAAGGCAGTGGCAGAGGAAAGCCAAACCCATGGCTTGGGGCTCCTTCCAGAGCTGGCCTCTCAGCAAAGCTGCAGAGTCTTCTGTGGAACCAGCAGTGACCTGAGCAAAGCAGTTGGGGGGCAATTAGGGCAGGGGTGCAGGTCATTGTTGTGTTTTGTTTTGATTGTGATAAAATACATCCTATATAATAAAGAGCTAATATGCTAATTAGACCAAACAGCAGAACGACCGTCCAGACAACCTTCCAGACAAAGCCAGGGCTGCGAGGGCTGAGCCCCTTGCACAAATTTCATGCATCGAGCCTCTAGTATAACATGAAATTCACTGGTTTAACCATTTTTAAGTGTACAGGTTAATGGCGTTAAGTACATTAGCTTTGTTGTACAACCATCACCACCATCCATCTCTAGAACCTTTTCATCTTCCTTATACTTTGTTATGTTATTATGATAAAATATACACTACATAAAATTAGCCATTTTAATCATTTTTAAGTGTACAGTTCTGTGGCACCACATTCTCATTGTGTTCCATGTGCTATATATACTAGTATAGTATATATATATATATATAGATATAGATAGCTATAGATATAGATATAGATATAGATATATAGATATATATGTTTCAGAGAGGAAGGGAGAGGGAGAGAGAGATAGAAACATCAGCGATGAGAGAGAATCATTGATCGGCTGCCTTCAGCATGCCCCGCACTGGGGTCTGAGCCTGCAACCGGGCATATGCCTTGGCCAGGAATCAAACCTTGACTTCCTGGTTCATAGATTTACACTCAATCACAAGCCACGCCAGCCCAGCTTCCCTGTGCTTTTCAATAAAGGCAAATGAAGAGAAAGTTTTAAAGCTCTTCACCCTGGGATTTTGAGGCCTTTGCTGACTTCCAGCAGCCCTGATAGCCCAGAGGAAGCTGTGTGTCCTCTTGGCCCTGTTGGGGGTTGCAGAGGGTGCTGGGGAAGGGTGTCCAGTCGAGGCTGACCATCACTAGGGACACAGGCTGGAACAGCCCTGCAGCCTTGCTGACTATTGTAAAAGCAGATCACAGCAAGGCTAGTGGAGTGTAGATAAAATGCC